ATTCGCGAATCCTTCGATTATATCCTTTTTGTATATTTCATCGAAAGATTCTACTATAAAATATACAAATTTATGTGTATAGGCATTTCTATTTACTGTAGAAAAAATGATTCTTGAATTCCGAGAAACATCGAAATAAAGATATCGATTATGCCTCTATTATTACTTGATGCACGTAACGTAAGATTAAAGGATTTTGAGTAAATATCCTGGCAATATATTTATTTGAAATCTTTAAATTGTGATTATGCAGCACGTGTTGTGCAACGTCATTTAGTCGAATCGAAACGTAATCACGTGTAGTAATAAAAGAATTATATCACCGTGTGACTTTACGCGCGCGGTAGATTGAAATTCAATCATTTCTGTTGAAGTGCAATAAAGTGATAAACATGACACGTGCGCTCTTATATAATCGTGTTATCCTGTTACCTGCATGCACTTTCTTCAGCTTTGTATTATCAGTCTCTTTTCAATTCTGTGTATGAATGGGCAATAAAAGAACACTCGACAGAATACGATATATATGCCGTCTTTCACGACTTTCCTTAAGGCATCATTTTTCAATCCGAATCCTCGGGATTTCGATAAAGTTTGTAAAAATTCAGATTTAATAAGTAGACATTAATTTATTTTGACTGCACGTTATAGTGTGAACAATTAATTAATTATCCAAGCAACAGAATCACGTCTAAAATACGTTTAATAATCGTCAGAAATCGTTAGCATATAAACTGATAAATAAACGTCATAAAAACTATTTAAAAACATTATAAAAATATTTAACGTTATTAATATCTATTTTAAACATAAATTGTTCGTTTGGATATTTTATTAATAGTTGTATTGTAAAATAAAAATTTAATTACTTTATATCGATAATATCGTTATTTCTTAAAAAGATATAAATAAGTAAGATGAATAAGTAAATAAGATATAAAAAATAAATAAGACATTAATATATGATATTGATTTTCTCTACTCACGTAAGAAAAATCTTATCGGTGGTTAAAGTAAAGGGAAAAGTTGCATTAATCGTGAATTTAATTTACGATCAAGTCGTAGAAATTTTTATTTCTAAAGGCATATATCGGCTTATCTCTCGTGGGGTCAGTACTTCCGTATATACATAAGTATTAAGTTAACTTATGTTGCAATCTCTTGTAAATTGAATCGGGATCAGTGATTATTTTCTATGCGAGGCTGACGATGCACGACGTGCGTAAGTAGGTGATCGCGTAACGGGCTTCCGATTCCGATTGTCATGCATAACGTCATCTTTCTGTACATCATGCTTCGATAAACTTAAACCAAACACTATTTGATGAAAATACACGAAATACCAGGTAGAATTAAAACATCGTAAATAAAAATTGACGTCCAATATTAATTTACGTATAAAGCAACATATGATATGGAATAATCAATCAACGTTTTATTAAATAAACTACACTGTGTGCTTTCTAGCGGGAACATAAAGTTTTCACAAAAGTGACACACTCATTTTTTCAACCAAAAACTCGTTACGTTTTTGATTAAAAGTATTAATGTAGACTATTAATGTAAACTCGACGATGCAACAAAGTACTGCAGCTGCAGTAATGAAGTAATTAGCAATTTTGTTCTATTGAGAAAGTTCTTACAACGTGTGATTTGAATATCTTTTGACATTGAAGAAAGATTAAAAAATGAAATATACTTTCCGTCATTCATCATTCAATGATTACGTGCGCTCGTATCTAATTGTTAGCTCGAGTACTCGCTTATCTTGGTGCTGTACTTATCTACGCTAATGATGCGTTGCATACTATATGTACTTATAAAGTATTGCCGCCGGCTTATCTTGTGCTTTCAAAAATTCGGATCAATGCACCGCCGCGGTAAGTCAATGACTCTGCGAATAAACAAACAAAGCAGGCGCATCCGCCTGTGAATAATCGGCTTAAGGATGTTTTCCCTGACAGTATCCTATTTTTTCAATAAGCGGAAAGAGCGTTTTCTCCTCTGTACGCGTAGTGTTTTATTCTATGACGACTTTTTTTGTTAAATTCAATGGAAGAGCGAACTTAACGATAAAATTATTTTATTTATACATTTAATTTGAGTTTTTTATCGTACATTTTCTAATTTGAGGTCACTTGATTAAATATCGTGACCTCTTCCTGTCACCGGGTTTCCATAAAATCGCGTATGCAGTTCACGTATGCGGTGCACGCGAACGAAACATTCGCTCACTTTCGCGGCCTCGTTTCGTGACTCGATCGAACATTTCATCGGGCGGCTCAAAATAAATTTGCTCGTTTTTCCATTATATTAATATATGTGACGCGAGATGCTTTCATTATTATTTCGAACTCGCGATTTGTATAAGGAATTTACAAGTAAATTGCGATCCTCTAATTCATTGCACATATGTAGGTATTTCTATCAATCTTTAAAATGTAAAAAGTTATTAATATTTCATTTACATATAAATATTTTAAAGCTAATAATAATATAACATTATAACGCTAATGCAATATTATGATTTTGTTATTATTAACTAATGTTAATAATAATGTTTTGTCGATACAAACGAATAAATTTCGAAAATCAATTTAAATACGTCAATTGAATGGCGTCATTTTAGCTTTTCAACTTGACTGGGAATTTCACAACGTTATCGTGACAGGCACACGGAAATGACATGCTGCATCAATCTAATAGGACCGTGATAAATAATCTTGAATAAACGATGATAAGCAACGGACGACAAATGTATTATTATCAGAAAGCGAACCTCTTGAGCGCGTACCAACGAAAATCGTGACGTGGAACCCTCAGCGAACAAAATATCGTTGCATGATTCTTTAGTATGAAGCTACGATTTCGAAACGATTCGATTTTTATCTGGAAACGCGTTGCGTCTTCTCCGGCAAAGGGAACGGAAGTAGAACGAACGATTGGTCACGCAAGACGAACGTCATGTCCTTGTAATCATTTTGTCCAGTTCTTTTTTTATAATTTTATCACATCCTTTTCATCCGTATTGAACTAACAAGTATCTTTTAAAACTGTAACGAGAATACAACAAACAAAAGCCCTAAACGATCAAGTTGAATCTTTAGTGCTTAAATAATTCAGTGTGAATTTATGTACTCATATTCAATCCTGCAAACTGCGCGCCAAATTTAATTTTTATTTTCTGAAACGCAATCCTAATAGAACTAGAGTAGTAATATCATAAATTAAATTTACAAGCAACTTAATAATATTGATGCTCATAGATATCTTAGAAAGATCTTCATAATCTGATGCTGATAAACATCTTCATTAAAACCTATAATTTTCTTCAAAACCTATAATTTTATCCCAAAAACTTCCACAGCTGATATTTCGGATCTTCTGTATTTTTGATCTGTAATCCATGTTCAACAATATTGGAAATTGATTACGTTTTATGGCAGCCTTGCTAAGCTCTCCTTTATTTATCGTCTGTATTTGATATTATTATATATTGACGCCGAGAAAGTTGTCCGATTGTTAATCGTATCTTAGATCTAAGCGACTCGTCGTGTCTCTCGCGTGCCTTTCGAATGTAGATCTAACGAAAGAGGGTTAAAACGCTCGACCCGGTTCATTCGCAACGGAAACACACCGTTTGTTTCACCTTGAGCCACGACTATTCCATTTGCGCGGCCCCTTGATCCCATTAACGCGACTATATCCGCGAAGCCCTACAAATGTGTATAGAACTTCTCTTTTTGATATGTCTCCCGTACTGAGGAAGTGTCTCACAAGTCGCGATACCACGACGATGTGTGAACAGGGTAGCTCAGTCAGAGCGAGAATAGCGTTGTTAGAAGGTGAATACTTATCACAGGATGCGTCGTTAAAAAGACCAGGTGAACTAATTTCAAGGATGCACAGTTCAAAGTACTCAGATAACAGTCCAAAATCGAGACATAAGATGTCTTAAAGATGTCTTTAAAACGGTTTTTTTTGTCTTTTAATGTATTTATAAGATGTCTTTCAGGTGTCGTTAAGATATCTTATGTTTCGTTTTTGGACGTGTGTGTTGTTTGGATAAGGACGACATCAGAAATTGGCACCAAATTTTATAAATTAATATAAAGCTGCGCTATTAGAAATTTGCCACTGATCAGAAATTTGCTCCAAATTATATTCAGCAGTCATTATGCGCAATGTTAATTAATTCCTGGTCTTCTTACATCATGAGCTGTACTTTCGCCAACTTGGGAGTGATCGTGTGCATTAGTCGAGCCGTTATTCTGAAGAAAATTATTCGAGAAGAAAACAATTCATAAAACTTTACTTAATCTTCAGTTATGGATGGATTACCGGAGAAATATTCGCCTACCGTTCTCTCAATTATTCCGAAGCGTTAAAAAATTCTTCTTTAATTAAAATTTCATAATGTAAGTACGTTGCAATTTTGTAATGAGGCTAAAAAGCCGAGTGAACGATACTATTCAACTTCAGTCACGCGACTACTTCTATTACAAACGAAAGACGTTAAGCAATAAAGACAGGCTAACTCATTTTTTTAACAGCTCGGGAAAATTGAATATTATTTATTCAATTATTTATAATGTAATATTATATATTATTAATCTTAAATCTGTTCGCGTTGCTTGAAATCTCTAAAAATGTTTACACTTAAAATAAGATAAATATATGTTCGAGCATTGAAAAGAGAGAAAGCAAAAATGCTGATTACAAAAAGTGCAAATAGCACGAATAGATTTCTTATTGTTAATATTAATAATAATGTTTATAACATAAACAATTTCAACGATTTAAACGTCTATGATATTTTATCGATAATACAATTTTATTTTTGACTTATCCTCTCGAATTCTTGGAAGAGCGAAATGATTTTTTGTATGAGGATTGGAAATTTATTAGAACAAAAAAGCGGTGCTCGCGATTGTCATGCAAATACGATATACCGTTTAAGTCTCAGGAGATCGTTATCGAATTTGTATTTTCTTTTTCAGGAAGAAAAATGGCACCGGTTCTGGGCGTACCGCCTCCACCACCACCGGCTCCTCACATGGGACCAGACGGTCTGATCTTGCCAAGGAAACCATATAACCCTTGCCTTATCTCCACTAATCATAAAGACCTTCACAGGGAGTTACTCTTCAACCAAAAAATGTAAGTCGAGTTCCTTCAAAATTTAAAATACGAAATTACTTTGCCCCTCCTGTTTTTATTTTATAATATAACAGACAGATTTAAATCAACATAACGCAATATAATGTAGCAACATACACGGAGAGAATTTTTTCTTAGAATTTACCCTGAAAATATGATAGTCGTAGGACAACATTGTGTGTGTGTGTATAATATATAATATATAATATATAATATTTCAAAGAATTTTAATATAAATCTCTCTCATTCATTAATAAAACTACAATAAAGTATAAAATAAGTTTGATCAATTTTATTGAAATGCATAGTAAAAATCTTTAAAATATTGTATTGTACCACGATCACCATATTTTCAGGGTAAATTTTATATAAAAGAAAATTCTCTCCGTGTGGTTAATATAATTAAGCTACAATTTTGTAATAAGGTTGAAAATAGTATTTCTACAAAAATATTGTATAGCGCGCACATAGAGATAAATTATAATTTCTTCAAGTTCAATAAAAACTTTTTATTCGATTTAAATAATGACGTAAACTAGAAATTGGAAACTTAAATTAGAAACGCTACATGTTACTGCTCCTTTTCTGCTAGAATTACTGACAGAATTAATCGCAAGATATTTTCTTTTCTTAGTCTTTTTTTATATAAAATTTCTCTTAATAAATTCATTATGTAAAGTTTCTCTGAATATATTTTATTTCATTAATTCTTCGACTGAATTCTTGACGAGAAGTTTTTTATTTAGGCAGACGGTTTCTTTTATTCCGTCTGCGGTAAGGCCGGAACGAAAGAGAGAGATCCTCCCTAAAGTAAATACTTTATCGCTTCTCTCGTGCGTTTAAAATTAATTAATACTATTAATTAATACAAGGAGAGGTGATTAATACTCGCGATGAAAATGGAAAGCCGATTAGTAACGTGTAAAACTTCCTGATGAAAGCTGGTGCTACCGTAAAACGAATATATGTTTATTGTGCGTTAATCCGAGCGTGATCGAGTACCAGATCGTGCGAGTTCAAATTTCGCTTGATAAAACATTATATCTCACATGATTACGTATACTTATTTTCGATCGCGGTCAATCGTGATAGCATCAAATACGTTTCCACATTAAATCCCTGTTTACGTCTAATCAGTACGTGATCGCGCTCATACTCGACGCACCGCACCTGTGATTTTTCACGCTTCGATGAAATTAAGCGGTTCACGCTTACCGACTTTTACCTTGGCACGTAATTCACGCCAATTCGCACGCGTGGTTTCTTCACTTGCGATCAAGATTACAACGTAATCTTACGACCCGTTCTTATCTGTCCTGTAAAATGTATCTTTATTACTATGCGCATACAAAATCTTATTTTATTTATTTAAGAATCAGGTGTCTTATTTATTTAAGAATTTCTTTCAAAATTTTATTTCGTATATTCGATTTTATTTTTGATATTTTGCATTTCTCTAAAAAATACTTCAATTTTTACACTCTGGAGATCTTATCGTTATTACGAAAACCGCTTTACTTTTTAATCAAAAAGGATTGTCCCGGATTCATTAAATGTACGCTTCTCCTTTTTTTTTTTGCAGCGGCAAGAACGTCTTGAACCAGAAAAGTGAGTTGCAACGTGCTCTGGAGAAACAGAGGGAAGCTGTATCGAGGAGGGAAGCTGAGAGGATCCGTGAGGAAAGCTACAAAGACGATCCCAGGACTGCCTTGCAAAGGGCGATCGAGCAGAGAGCAAGACACATTCAACTAACGGTAATTCGGGATAGGGCGTAATTAGCTAATCTTTTACTTTGTGAAATTATTATATCGAAATATTATATTTTTAGGTTTCAAATCCTGACACCCCTGAATCTTTACATTTCCAAATTCTCGAAAGAAACTATTGTTTTTATGCTTTTATTTTTTATTTTACTGGAATCCTAATCCTTCACTTTTAGAATCCTTAAATTTTAATGGGCTTTCTATAATAAGCTATTATCTAAGCTTTAAGTCTTAAGTTATAAGGAATTGACCATTATTTTTTTTTACATTCGATTGTGATTGGTCAATTGGACTTAAAGTTTAGGTAATAGTTTATTATAGAAAGCCCATTAAAATTTAAGGATTCTAAAAGTGAAGGATTAGAATTCTAATAAAATGAAGAATAAAAGCATAAAAAAAAACTGAATAGTTTCTTTCGAGAATTTGGAAATGTAAAGATTCAGATGTCAGGATTTGAAACCTAAAAATATAATAGTTTATTGTAGGAAACCAATGAATCTTAATCTTCAAGGATTATCAATCTTTTGACACCTTATAGTTCCTCGCTAGAATCTTCAAATTCTGAATTCTAAATCTTTAAAGATTATCGATCATTCGACACCTTATAAAATTCGACCGAAATAACAGAAGATGCATAAATATAAATAATTCCAATTCAAATATGCAATTTATGATCAAGCTAAACTCTGTTTACGCTGATTTCTTTATTAAATTAATTTTTTTATAGCAGGAGCAATCGCGAGCGACGACGGAGCCGCCGAGCAACCTTCTGATAACAGCGAGAGCGAAGCTGAGGCCGCGCACCGAGTCCCAGTGAAGTTGGTGAAGATCGAAGGTCGCGCAAACCGATGTCGCGCCTGGGTGAAGAGGACGATCCGCTCGAATGGGCGGCTCATAATTTCATCCTTCAGCGCCTTATCGATTGCAATCAGTGTACATATGCATAACCCGATAAGATTTCTTTGACACAAGGATTATTAACGGCGTCATTTGGCGCGTCGAAAGACGCGTGTTGTAACAGGCGTTAGTTCTTAATATTAGGCGTTAAGATAACACGATGGAACGTAACGAGCGCGCATTTGATTGCTATCACGAGCAGGATCGCTGGGGATCTATCTCGAGGAACATTTCGTGGATGTTTAACGCGTCATATCGCCGCGCCATCCGTCGTAAAATCATTCCCAAACAACACAAAGAACCAAAATGACATCGTGTCTTGAAAATTAAAGACTATCTTTATGACGCGCCAGTTTAGACGCCGTAAATTATAGTGTCGTGTGCGAATTATCCCGGATCAAGCGGCACGCAAGTGGTTCTCATAAAACGCATATCGGGTATCTCAATGTACAATACAATCAACAACCAACCACGTGTCTTCGTTTAATAGTAGATCAGTCGAGCTTAGTATGCGTTTGACGACCAATTAGTATGTCAACACGTTATTATATGCGGTAATCGCGGTAATCCAATTATATTGTACGTGCTAACGTTGACTCGGATACAATAATCGACGTATTTTTTCTTACGAGGACGGAGATTTCGTCGCGAAGGTATCAGCGACGGGATAGCACAGTAGAACAGATCGACAATAGATAGTAGTTGTAGATTGACGGCGAGATAACGCGAAAGAATTTAATTGTGGATGATGTTTGCCGATTATTCAAATGGGAAATTGTCTCTGCTCTGAGCCTTTGATCTTGAGCGATATTAAATTTTTTTTTAATTTGAGAATATTCAAATTATGTCATAAAAATCACCAGTGGCGGATATTTGCAAGGATCGCTCTCGAAATATTTGTCTACACACTGATAATAAAATCTATCGTTTCGTTACAGACAAAATAATATTCGTTTTGCGCCGCGTTTAGGATTAATCGCTCAAGCAGGAGTCATGAATCGCGAATGCCCGGATATCCTCGATACGTATCCACGTCTGTGTAAGAGTTCTCTTCGTGTCGAAGGCGATCCCTTCCCTTCTCTCCAGAAAGTCACGACGATGTTTTCCATGATCTTCGACGCGATTTCGGGCACGTAGATAGAATGTATTTTGTACGAAGCTTAGATGGTGGCATTACTTTGTTTTCATTTTCTTACATTATGAAATAAATAAACTCGTTCACGATAAATGTAGGACCGATTCCGTGAAGCTAACATGCAACTAATCACATAATTCATTGTTAAAATTACCGATTTGTCGCGATGACATCTGGATACAGTGAGCAGCTATGAACAGATCAACTGGAGCTTAACATTATTTTTAGATAATCTCTGAGAATTGAATGACAAAATTATATCGTTATGATTACATGAAAGTGATGCCACCTGAAAGTAAAAGTAGTTTCCGCTAGGAGACAAGAGACGAATAAAGTCAGGACTCCGCGGGACCATGTGTTCTTGTACTTCGTTACACGGCAGTAAGACAAATCTGACATCTGCCTTGCATAGTAGCAATTATTATTAATCGTATTTAAGTATCGACATTAAATTTAACTATATTTTGTGGCTCATTACATTTGACGAATCTTACAAAGGTGCGCAGTATCACTAGATCGAAAATAATATAAACCGTTAAGTTTGTTACAACTTTAATTTATCAAGCGATCCACACAAAGCTCTTATAATATATAACTCGCATTTAAGAAAATATACCCGTATATCCAACCAATAGAGGAGCCACAAACGGAAGATACTTTCGTTTTCTTTTTGTACAGTTGTCACGTGTATGTATATGCTAACTTACGTTTGTCATATTTAGTTTAACATAAATTTAATCAAGATATTCAGGATCTTGAGAGAGATCGTCACAATGATAAAATCTCGGATTCCAAATATATTTTATTCAACACTAAACATCAACCCCGTCATTTCCATTCCAACGTGTAAGGAACCAGTAATAAAGTGGATAAAAAAAACGTTGCGAGAAATATAACAGCGAAGACCCTTTTCTTAAAATACATATATTAGAAATAAAAAAAAAATTAGAAATACGAAGAAGACATTTAAACGACACGCATGGAAACACCTGGTGTTTTAGATTGTTGTTGGTATATACGCTTTTATCGTCTATGTCGAATCTTACTACTTGGTACCTTTTTGCGATTGAGAAAAAACCAAAGGATAGTACACTCAGAAATGTCGTTACTAACGTATTACAATGATTATTTTTCGCATCAAACGTTGCAGTATTCGATGCTTCGATAATGATGTTACATCGAGATTAAAATACATCTTGACATCCGATAATAATTCATGTAAAACAATGGTTGCGCTTTAATAGTCGTCACCGCGAGAAATGACTTCTTTACATGTGGGACGCAGAACGAGTGTATGCTCAAACTGAGCAGTGTAACAGCCCTTGACGTCGACCAACGGCGGATACGCTTCTACGGCACCTTTTTCGCAAAGATCCTTCAGCGCCATTTGGTATTTGGTACAACCGACGCGGTCCAACCAACGTTTACAAAAAGCCAAAGTACCTAAAACACGAATAAAATGAAGAGTATTCAAATTTTCAGATCTGTTGTTGAGTAAAGCTTTTTTAAACTAATCAAATATCTTTAGGCTTCTCACCGAAATGCTTGTTGATAGTGTTAAGAAGAGACTTGCTGCTCTGCAATCTCAATGGCACGAAACCAGCATCAAAACTCTTCATGTAATGTGAACATTCCATGTCATCGTGAACCACGCCTCTACCAGTAGATCCGAAAGTTTCAATCGCGTAGAACTCGTTCTCTTCCATTCGAATTGCTTCGCCACCTCTAACTATCGGTACCGTTTTTCCGGCGTGTATGCGGTAAGGTGAAATCGAATGGCCATTCAGATTTCTAATTGATTTCACCTGCAAAAGATTCAATTAAATGATTATTGAATGATTACACTAGTTTACAGCAAAAAATTACTTTGGACCGGACTACGTGTTTTTTATAAATTTTTGGATGCTGAAAACAATGCCGCAGGCGAAAAAGTTCTAGCACGATTTCCAAGATATGAGGTTTAAGGAGAAGATTTGAGGTTTAATACTTAAAAAGTAGCTTTTTTTGATATTTGACATTTTTTAATAAAGAAGGTTAACGTTATCTTGAAATTTTGATCAGGAGTTATGAATGTATTGTGCATCCCCTATAAAATGCATTTTTTTTATTTCAATACCTTACTTTTTAGCCATGTTATGAAAAAAGATATTAAGTGACTTGCTTTCAAAGATAGTCACATTATATTCTTATAAAATATTTTTGATAAAATATGTTGTTCAAAGATAACTAGATAACCATAAATCAAGAAAAAAACATTAATTAAACCAAATAAAATTACACTTTGCATATATATAACATTCTATATTTCATACCTGATAAGTTTTACCATCCAGTTCCACCTCGTACGATTCCATAACTTCTTGAATAGCAGCACCAACATCGCACAATTGTACATCGATACCAGCAGCCTTGATACCGGTATTGGTGGCGTCGCGAACAGCCTCAATCAGCGGGTTGTATTTGGGATCAAAAATCAAAGTGAACGCACAATCAATAATACGCCCATTAATGTGAGTACCAAAGTCGATCTTTGTGACGTCCTCGTATTCGAGAACAGTTGGATCACCGGCGTTTGGAGTGTAGTGAGCCGCGCAATGATTGCGGGAGCAACCGGTCGGGAACGCCAATCCAGCCAGGAGACCATCCTCTCCTATCAATTTCCGAGCGGTTTCCTCCAGCTCGTTACAAATTTCTATCATAGTCATTCCCGGCTTGATCTGTGAAATTCATTAAAGAAATACATTTGCAAAACCGCGAGATTTCAAGTGTTTTCTAAGATAAGCAGATTATAAGTAGGTCTATTCTTTGTGGCTGACTTACTATTCTAAATTCTTTGGAGTGGAACCTCACTTTGAAGAATGAAAATTAAGCTAGTCTTGAAAAGAATGGCTCAATTTTGTATCTTTAAGACTAAGATTCCATTCTTCAGAATGAGATTCACTTTAAAAGTTTTAGAATACGCTTTATATAAAATAGATATATATTTGAAGTTTAGCAAAAGTGAGATAAAAAATTTTAGAGTAATCCAGTGAGTTATATACAGGAGCGCGATTTCTCTATACTAAACTATAAGAAACTTTGTCTGACGGAGAAACGAAAGGCAAACAATATACTTGTTTTTCTGATTCTTTCCTAAAAACAGCATTTGCTAATTAGCGAGTCTCCAACAAAAAAAAAACAGTATAATCTTTGCATCGAAGTGTCATTGTCTAGGACACCTTCGCTCTTTGATGCATAGTGTGCTCCACTATATTGTAGAGCTTATTAGTGCAATTCAGTGTACAAAAAAGATTAAGCCTAATAACAGTGAATCATTATATCCTTGTTGTTTGTCAATATTAAATAGAAATAAAAAATTCTCGCTGTTACACTGTACCGTTTATGTTTTTTTGCTATAAAACGTCTTTGTATTGTTTACGCAACAAATATAGTTCAATGTTTATTTTAAAAATTCATGTAACTTTGAGAATTCATAACATATCTTCTCGCAGTAACATAGACTTACATACCCAGTTCATGATATGCCTTCTAGTTTGTCGATGCGCTTCGGCTGCCTGTCTGGCTTCATTATAAATATCATTATGCATTCTGTCGAGGGCGCGTGCCTCCTCGCTCGTGAAGCGTAATTTGGCCATCCTGTCGTCTACCCCGGCAGGTCCGTGAACCATTATTTGTCCCACTGGAAAATTACCATCCGGGAACAATTCCGACACAGGAATAGTCGGTGGATTTGTCTGCTGCTTAACCCCTCCCTTATCTTTGGGTTTACGCTTCTTCTTTTTCTTCTTTTTGACTTCTTCGATTTCACCGTTGTTCTCTGTCACCTCTGTGGTACCTAAAAATTTCAACCGAATAATTTGTCATCATTGTGGCATGAATATTTATCAAGAGCCATTTAATGTTAAATTTCAGCTTATCGTTATTATAAGAATATAGAAGAATTAGAGGTTACTGACAATACCTTCGGCCACTGCATCATCATCCTTAGCTTTATCTTCTTCTCCTTCTGGCACATCTGCACTAGCTTCTCCAGCACCTGTACAAATATTTCCATTATCAATATTTCATAGAGAATCAATAACACAATTTCTCTTTTATATATATATATACTACACCCACACGAGAGTCATTTGAAAAGTTATAAGCCTCAATATGAAAATGGCATGATTCATCAAAACCATTGTTTGGTACTACAATCGTACATGTGTGTGTTGTAAAAATTGTGGACGCTCAGTTGTTATTTGACAGTCATTTGTGCCAGTCAATGTCAATGTTTTTATAAAAATGGAAACAATCGAATATCGCGACTGCACGTATTGCCTTTCAAATGTAAGAAATGTCCAATTTCTTCACCTCTAGATAACTCGATCCAAGACATCTCCCAGAATATAATGGAGATATCTCCTGGATAAGGTTATCCGCAACTTATCTGGAAGTGAAGAAATTGGGCATTAATCATTGCTAGTTTGGCTCGGAGGACAGATTTTCATCGAGATCATCACATCTGTAGAAGCCTATTTTACAGAGCAAGACGCTAACTATTATTTAAATGGGTTAAAGGGATGGGAGCATCGCTAGGAAAAGTATATCGACTTAAAAGGAGACTATGTTAAAAAATAAAACTGAATTTAAAAAATACTTGTTTCTATGTTAGGCTCAAAATCTTTCACAACCCTCGTATATGCATGTTGGCTTTGGATACATATACTTATATATGAATTTTTTGGAGTTTAAAATTTATAATTAGTGTTCTTTCCGTAAGTTGCAATGTTCCAATATCATACAATTTGTTTCAAATTCGTTATTTTCAAAGTCACATGTTTAAGCTTAGGATTGTTCTTTGTAGTTGAACATATAACTTTCGTACTTAAGATAAAATATATAGTTATTGAAGTTTAACAAAAAGAAAATGTAATCCAGAGAAAGTTTTAGGCAGCTACAAAAAACAGAGGTTTTTTATTTCCACACTGAACTGCACTAGAACTCTTCTTGCTTTTGCCAAATATGCCAAATATGTATTTATTTTACTAAGTACAAAAAATGTACATTAGTTCAATTATTAAAAAAAAGATCTTGAATCTTTTATAATTATATATAAAATTCGATAACAACACAGGATCGAATTTTCATCATTTAATACGATAATTATCAATGCACATAAACACGAAATGTTTCCACGTCACCTTACATTCGAAGAAGCCATTCCCATAAACTTTGAAATTTCTCAAGAGAAGAGTTTACATTACTCCATTTTAAATACAAATACCTTAATGATCAACAACGTACTCGCGCCATTTGTGCAGATTTAAACAAAATCTCATGAATAGTTTACGAACGTTTAGAAGAATAATTGAGCAAACTGTCCCGACAATTTCGTGGCCGGTTCTATCGCGATGCGGATAGAAAATTCATTAAATCATCAATTGGGGATTGCGTACCGCAAAAAATCGAGGTGTGACACTGACACGTTCGTCATTTAAGGACAACTTACCGGCCTTCTTCTTCTTTTTTTTCTTCTTTTTCTTCTTCGACGCCTCTGCTGCTCCAGTTTTGTCTTCCTCGTCGACGATTTCGTTCTTCTCCTCGTCCACGAGTTTCTCAGCGGATTTGCCAACCTCGTCCAGCACGGCCGCCATTTTTGCGAATAACCACGAATAACGGCAAACCACAGAGGCACAGTCGGCGCAGTATAAGCAGAGAGAAACCTGAGAGCGGCCATCTCGGTCTTTTTCCTGTAATGCTTCTAACTCCCTGTACACTAGCGGCACCAACGTCCATTTTCGAGCTGCGGGAACTACGTACCACGTCCGTTTTCGTGAACCCCCGTCTCGTCGATAAAATCGTATCATCGAAAGTGGACGTAGTACACCACATAATTATAGATGTGAAGAAAAAATTATTTTTCTACATTGTTGATAAATAAATTTGCATTATGATACGTGCTACAGCCACAAATTGCGGAAAATTTTTACCATTGAAATTAATGGAGAAATTTTTCACTTTTCACTTACCATCCTAGGGATAAAGTTTCATGATTGATACTCTGGGGATCGATTCTGTATCTTGAAACGAGGTGAAAATTACGGGAGATCCCGTTTGCCTACAATCCCGATTGCACACACCACTCATATCAGCTGGTGCCTAGTAATTTTTCACTGCTTTACCAATGAGAATATTTTATTTTTAAATTGGCCAATTAGCGACACATGTGTGCAATATGCAATGTGTGCAATCGGAGCCTTCCCAAAATTACAAAAGTGAGCTAATTTATTAGAACACTGATAATTTCATTGAATTTCATTCAACACCTAGTAAATTTGCTCACTTTTGTAATTTTCACCTTGTTCGAAGATACAGAATCGACCCCCTGTCATGTCTTCCTTGTTTAATGTTCGGTAAACTACAAGGATGATATAACATCCGAAGAAGCAGTGTTAAGAACTCCAAGTTAATTTCTAAGAAAAGATATATATTATATCAATTGAGACCTCTGCTTCCCGAGGAGGTTATTCATAGGATCAACTAGATCCGTTATTTTCGCATGGTACCGTGTCTCTATATTTGAGACGGAAAACCAATCAAGGGGAAACAGAAGAAGAAGAAGACATCCGGAGAGCACCCAGGTAGGAATCCGAACGCAGCCTGGGCACCTATCATGGAACAAAATCGGAATGGATTTCGATCGAAATTATTTAATTATTTTCTAGATTTCTATTGTGTTTTCTAGGGAAAACGGAATAATTCCGATCGGAATCCATTACGACTTTATTCCATGATAGGTGCCCTGGTCGCCATGTGCACGATGTGTCTAGGGATATTGCAATTGGAAAGAACCCATTGATTTTTCGACCAATCAGCGCGAGGAGATCGCACGAGGTTTACCGAAGACGCCCAAGCCACCGACGTGCTTAGCAGACGATTGAACGCGAAGATTCGACGATTCACATTTGAAATCACTGCGAGTTAACTGGGTGCCAGCACTGCCAGCACGAAATAACAATTTCTTCCTTCCGGGAGGGCTCCGATTGCACACATCGCATATTGCAGACATGTATCGCTGATTGGCCAATTTAAAAATAAAATAATCTCATTGGCAAAACAGTGAAAAATTACTAGGCACCAGTTGATATGAGTGGTGTGTACAATCAGAACTGTAGGCAAACGGGATCCTCCCTTTACCAATTGCTCGCTGCTTGCCCGGCTCGCCTCGCATTTCGCAAATCTTGCAATTTTAAGATGGCGTCATCCTGGTCGCTCGTGCGATGGACTTGTTTGGCGAGAGCGAGCAACTCGAATATCTCGCGACTCGCGACTTTCGTGTTTGCCAAGCAACACGCTGGAACTCGGACGTTCCACTCGCATCAACAGCAGCAACAGCATCTGCAGCATGGACGAACAATATTCAGTGACGGAGCGAGAAGACTTCTAACCTGTACCGCGTTCGTTGCGGCGACAAGTCTCGGCTATGCCTTGTACAACTGGAGAGATAACATCCGACAAGGAATCAAGAGTCTGATCGTTCCGATTCCTTCCGTTCGTGCCATCTCTTTGTCTGACGGCAACCAGAAAAGGGACAAGTTTAATTTTATAGCGGACGCGGTGGAGGTATCTGCACCAGCTGTTGTGTACATTGAAATCAGGGATGGCAGTAGGTAAACAATTCATAAGTTGACATATGACGACATTATATATCGCTTATTTACTACAACACAACTAAAAGGTCATTTTTTTAGTTATCTACAAAAAAAAACGAAAATATAAAGAAGAAAAGAAAGAATATGTTTTAAATGAGAGAATGTACCTTTATTTCTTTATAATCAGTTATTACACAAAAATTATATTTTCAAATTAATATTACAAAATTTTAATGATTCAAAATATTCAAACATATTTCTTGGGAAACTTAGGTTTTTTAGTTACATTGTTGTTGTTATAAATGAGCGATATAACATTTGGTTTGGATGCTTTTAGTACTTCTATCCTTAATTTTTTAATATATGTATTATTAGATATATATATATATATA